ACACACACACACACACACACACACAACACACGTTTTAAGTCCCAAAACACATTTCAATGACATGACACGCAATTAAGAAAAATAATGGCGTGACTGTCAGCTACATATCGAACCAGTTATACCAACAATCCTGATCTGGGAATTACGATCTCAAGAGGATTAAAAAAAAATTATAAATAGAAAATATTTGATAATTAGTTTCCGGTTCACTTCGTTTTCAAACGTTACGCTTCAGTCAATTTCTGCGAAACTCTTTAATACACGATGCCACTTATTCGATACGCGTTTATTTGAACAGAATTTGAATTATAGAGTTGAGGAAAATGCCAAGATACAGCCAACAAAATCTTGACTGCTATAATGATAATATAATTCAATTCTTAAAGACTAAAACGGTCGAAAATACAAAAACAAAATAAAAGCTTGAGCGTTCGAGAATTTATCCGGCTGGAAATAGAATGAATAGAAAATTTGAAAATTTCAATAAAAGATTAAACTTTGTCGATTGGATTTAACAAAGATTTTACACACACACACACATATGTATATCATTTTAAACGTTATTTATACTGGATACTCGTATCTGAATAGACGCTCTGTTTATTTATTGTGTTTATTTTACTGGTCTGAATGTTTGCAAAATACTATGAAAGAAAAAATTTGCGCTCTCTGGCAGGATTCGAACCGTAAATTTTTCTTTAAGAAGATTTCTCAAACATTCAGGCCGGTAGACGAAAATAAATAAATATAATGTTTAATAAACAAAGGGAGCGTCTACTCAAATACGAGTATCCACTCAAAATAACGTTTAAAATGATAAAAATCTGTCGGATTAATAAGGAATCCATTGTTATATATATATATATATATATATATATATATATATATATATATATATATATATATATATTAGTTCTATGGATCTATACAACTGAATATGCTAGCTCTATCACTGATATTGAGCACTTTCCACTAAGTAATGCGTATATAAGTTATATATATATATATATATATATATATATATATATATATGTAATGTATAAAATCACTGAATAAAAATCAGTTTTCCTAATAAGAAGTAGCGAAGAAAGAGAAAAGTTTGACTGATTCGAAACTTAATATTTTCAGTGTTGTTTGTCGATCAAACAGTCATCGCTATTTACATAAGAAGTTATGATGATTAGTGAGTGTCATTTTGATATTTCAAATCCTCAGGACATTCTGAAAAATTTACGGACTACTTGAAATTCGTAACCCCACCGTCGATCTTTGTTTACAAATGAACGTGTGTATGTTCATACAGACGTCGGTTAACAGGCACTTGTGTATCATTACGCATGTGTATGTGTATGTAGGTCGGTTGATATTTATCTTACGCAGACTATTGCTGCTATCATGAGTGTAATCCTCAGTAAGTGTTTCAAATGTGTGTTTTTGCGATCGACTACTCTAAGCGAACGATGCATAAGCCAGGTTGAAATATACTTTGTGTACATCAGCAGCGAGTAAAGTCACAAGCACTTTTATCAGACAAAAGACGCCATGTTGCGAGAGACATCCCATGTTAATTCAGATGATGTTGTGTCGAAAGACCAATGAAGCCCGAAAGCTTTTTGGCACAGATTTTTAAAAAATGACGGCAAATCGATATGAAAATTGAGAATGCAGTTGAAAATTTATTGGGCGTATCCAGTCAGACTGTAGATTTTCGACATTAGTCTTTCTTCTTCCGCAAATATCTAGTTTGCATATATGTAACTGGTCTGGCAAGCTGTAAAAGCATTTGGGCAAAAATAATTTTAAAATGACAATAACTTTTCTCAGATCTTCTTCAAACCAATTTTATGTTTGGCTGACAAGTATGTTTTGCTTAAGTTGTTCGAATGTCTTCGATGAAGCATTGTCATTGTTATTCATTTTGACGATTTTGTAATATCTAATTCAACCAGAATAAAAAGAAAAAGGCACAAAACTAAAATCGAATAAGACAGAATATAACTATTGTTTAAATTTGATTAATATTTCGTAGTAAACTGGTCAGGCGTTGTCCAAATATGACAGGTTTCTAAAGATGAGGGATACGGGTTAAAATGTTTGGAAGCTATTTTTTATTTCCAGTCAGCTTAATGGTCGAAGAATAAATATAAATCTAGCTAAGCATTGTGATACAAATCAGTGAAATAAGATGAAGGAAAAATTAGCATAAAGAAAATATATTTACAACTTTTATTTGTGCGCAAGCATATACTAACATGCGTAAGATATAGATAAACAAAAATATAACTTTAAGCTAATTTATTGTTGACTTGGCAAGCTGTGATTTCGTTATATTCATAACTATATCTGGTGATACACATGCAGTTAACCTAACTAATGTGAATGTGTCAAGATAAGTCGTCAGGATAACTAGCGTGAAGCAAATATTTACTAAAAGAGTCTTGGATTCACTTTCAGAAAATTTTTCTCTGCAAATACTTTTGAAAGCTACAATCATGTTTATATCAATGTGCACCAAATACAATTACTGATTATCAAATACTTACTAAATTGGTACAATGAGCCGAACATTTTCCAACATTTTTGGCAATAGGTTGTATATATGAGTTCCACTTGAGGTGAGCTTGAGCTGCAATAGATTCAACATCACCTATCATGATAGGTCAAAGTTCAGAGTCTGCTCGGTGATGGTGGAAAATTACCAGTTTGTTTTTGGCCGAATTGAATTTTACATGCCAGCCCTTCCTCTCATTGAGCTACCAGGTCTAGGTCAGAGGAGACATGAGTTTCTGGGTTTTGATCATACAGATTTGGGGAGGAGCGTCTATAAAATGTTGTGGCATCCGCATAGTTATTCACTAAAGATCGGATTTACTTTTTTAATTACATTTTCTTAAGTGTGTTTTAGCTGTGTTTCATAAAGGCTGAAATTCTTATTCGTAGTTCTGAGGTTGATTATGGCACCATTTAAAAAAGTAGATTCATGTCGGATAAATTAAATTTAAAGACTTTAAAGCCTTTTGCTGAGGAAGGCATTTATTAGACTAAATTTATTATTAAACTGTTAAATACATTTGATGTTCTGATTTATTATTTTAATAACGCAGGGTGTAAGGTCTGAGGGTTTATGTTATCATACCCAACACGCGCACACACACACACACACACACACACTAAATTGGTGAAGACTGCAAATACAACCCTGGCAACACTGTTTGCCAAACGAAAAAACTTGAAACGACAAAATAAAATAAAGCAAGAACAAAGAAAGAAACCGACATAAGAGGCCAAAGGAAACATAAAATGAAAAAAAAGAAAAAAGAAAAGACAGACACCTACTTCGACAATAACCCAAATTACTCACTGCCTCTAGCAAATAGCCCAAGATAGAGCAGTAACACTAACCAACGAAACAGCACAAAGAGACTAGATTCAAATCATTACTCTGAAAGCCTTGAGGAAATCTCTCTCTCTCTCTCTCTCTCTCTCTCTCTCTATATATATATATATATATATATATATATATATATATATATATTTATATTTCAAACACTATTTTTATTTTTTTTACTCGTATTTGTGTAAATGCTCCGCATTTTAAAAAGTGTTTATTTCGTCTAGCAGCCTGCACACTCGAAAAAATTCAATAAAGAAAATGTTTCCTCGCATAAGATTTGAACCAGCGCCCTTTTTGCAGGATAAGCTACCTACTGATTTGGCGTGTTTTGACCGCTCGCCTATGGAGAGTTTCACATTCATTTTTCTAGGGGATAGTAGTATTTGAGTAGACACTCTTTTTTTTTTTTTTAAAAAAAACAAAACAAAAAAAAACAGCATTTATTTCGTTTACCGGCTTGTACACTCAGAAAAAGCTTATGGTCATAGGAGATATTTGAAAAAGTTAGGACGTAATTTAACATTTTGGCAAAAACCGATGGTTGCACTCTCAAGAAACTTCTGAATCTAGTCTCTTTGTGCTGTTTCGTTGGTTACTCGCTCACTCTTTCACACACACACATATGTATGTATGTATGTATGTATGTATATATGTATGAACGACAGTAGCTTATTTGGAGTTTAAAGATGTTTTTGTTTTGATTGTTTAGGCTCATCTGAAAAACTAAAAAAACGATGTTCATGTGACTCCATTTCCTTACTCGTTATAGGATTCAATAATTACTTTGTAGCGTAAAGGGACGAATGTGTACTTCACAAGTTGTACATAGCGATTCGAATCTCCTTGAGTACTTCACAAAATCTTTTCCGCAATTAGTCTTTACCTATGCAAGATTTTTGCAGAAGGCTACATTTATGGAAAAACTCGGACAAGAAAATATCCGCTACAAAGGGAAAGCCTGGATAATGTACTTACAGTTCATTGCCGTGGATTTTGTGTGGCTGAGAGGTTACCTATGTACCTTTACGTGTCAATATTCAGTGTTCGAATCGCGATAAACACTGGATTGTGGGTGTTAAATTTCGAAGCAAACAGGCTTAGGAGATTATCACCCTTCACTTTAGCAATAAATTTACTGACGATAAAATCTGAAATGCCCTCATCGTATCAGTTTCTCTTTACCTGACTTCATACGCGACTCATTTCCTTTCCGCAAAAAACGTATGCCTGTTACAGTAAAGAGTTGTTCAATACTATTGAATATCGATGATATGCCTTGGGTTTCAGAAAGAGAGGTACATCTTTTATATGAAGAACATGCAAATCGAGATAAGGGTAGAAAATAGCTGAAGGGGGTTATTTAGCTTTACTGCAAACTGCTGCGTTCGTCCATTTTGGGTGATGATGTCAGGAGAAATGGCGCCATTACGGCATAAAACAGCAGGAATAAGCGAGTTTGGCTGCGTGTTTCCAACCATGCCAAACACACCCTTAATACCTCTCAGTCATCATCAGTGCATATCCGGAAGGCGGGAAAATCTGCATCCGATATATAGATTTCCCTTGACAAAAAAGTTTGGCGCGTAAAAGCTGAATCACTTCTGAGTTCATTCTCTCGCTCTCTTTCTTACCCCAGTTTTCTTACTCACATATTAATCTCTCTTTCCCATCATGACTTTCCCCTTTTATTTTCTGTCTCTTTCTGCTTATCACCATTTCTGGCTTCGTCCCCTTTTCCTTTTCTTTTTCCTGATTTTATTTTCTTCTTCAGTAACATTTTAGTTTTTATGCTTTTCTCTTTCCCATTTAATTCATTTCCTAATTCCCACGCTTGCTCTTTTTGTCTTTCTCCTATTTCCCTTCTTTCTCCCTCATTCTCTCAGATTTGTTTTCCTTTTCTTCCTCAGTTGTGTTCTCTTTCACTTCTATTTCCTTTCCCTCTTTTTTCTTTATTTTATTTTCCGTTCTCGCTCTAATCTGTTTTTTTTTTTTAATATTTATTTTTTAGTTTTTTTTTCATCTTTTTTTTAAATCTATTGTGTGGTGCCATCTTATATGTACAGGATTTTACAAGTTAATGTTAGTAACCATTCAGTTTATTTAACAATAAGTTTTGTGTTTATTCAAAATATTTTTCTCCACATGCCAACCATCTCCAAGTATTAGGCGATGAGTTTGTTTGACATGTTCAAGATGATCAAAAGGTTAACCGTCCAGAAAGAAAGCCCATTAAAACAACAACATTAAAACCGCAGAAAGTGGGTCAAGAAAGCAAATTGAAAAGAAACGGGAGAAAGGTTGTAAATAGAGAAAGAACGGTAGAATAAAAAGGATAGTAGACGAATAGACAAATAAGGAACTTTTACCAATATTTAGAATTAGGGTTGATGAATTTAGTAGGTGAAAAAAATGAACAAAAGACTTTCTGTAAAGGTTAAATGCCAATTGATGGGTGATTTATGCTTGGAGCTTGAGCTTTTCGGAACAACAAGCTACTTTGGGGCGTTCGCGGATTCGGTCATACTCAGGCCTCATACCGTATAGGAATGGCATTTAGTACCTCTCAACACGTTGATCCAGAGAGAAAAAAAACGTCGGTCACATCACGTATGAAGGAAAAAGGAAGCTGTATCTATTTGTGTATCTCGCAAATAAATATGGAAGAGTAAATCTTGGCAGAGGAAGAGAAGAGGCAAAGAAAGTTTTTAGAGGCGAATGAGATGACAGACGAAATGAAATAAAAAAATGAAAGAATGAAACCGATTGCTCGTATTGCTGCAGATTGACAGATAAAAAAAAGAAAGTTTTGTTAAAGAAGAGAAATAGAAGGCTGACGTAAGGGAATGAGAATAAAGAAAGAGATCTCGTATCTTCGCAGCAGGTCACGTCGCTAGAAGGGGAGAAGAAAATAGAAAAAGATGAAGACATATTGATTTGGGCTCTTCAAATAAGAGATAAAGAAGTAATAAACGAAAACAAAACGGATAAATGCGGAATAAAGACAAAGAAACAAAAAGAACTGAGGAAAAGAAAAATGACAGACAACTAGTTGGATCAAATTGACCTGCTTGACTACAGAAAGATAAAAACCTAAGCAGCTTAGCAAAGCTTTCATATGTTCAGATGCCTTCATATTTGTTACTGTAAGTAATATTACTCTTTACTGTTGGTACCTAAATCAGAAATATTTCTTTAACGCAGTGGTAATTTTCTCTTGTATGAAATTGTTTAATCTTGTTTTCATTTGATTACTACAGCAACACATGACAACGTTTGGGTTCCACGAACTTCTTCATGTGTTGTGTCCCCTCAAGACGTAGGCGACCATGGCTCTCCACAGTTTCCTGTCCTTTGTAGCTCTTATTATTTTTTTCTATTTTTTATTTCTCCAAAACCATGTTCCGCTATCCATTTAATCAAACTCTAACTAAATGGATGGCGGAACTCACTAAGTAGGTTATGCGTTGTTTTCCTAGGCCTCTCTTGCCTTCAATCTGTCCTTTGAGTAGCAGATTTTACAAGTCCTCTTTCCTCATTATGTGCCTCCAAAATTTCAGCTATCTCTTCCTGATGTAAAGTATAAATTTCCTTTTTGTTTACATTTTCTGTACAACGTTGTTGCTCACATATTCGATCCATGATATCCTCATTAACCTTCTGTAGAACCACATTTCTGTTTCAGTTTTTTTCTTCATCTTTGAGCATTGTCCAGCATTCACAGTTCGGTACTCTTTTCTGTCTCGTAGTACTATGTTAAGCTTTTGGAAACAGTATTTGGCTATTCCAATGTGCTTTTGAATTTCAGTATTACACTTTCCGTCTTCTGTTAAAACACTTCCCAGGAATTAAAATTTTTAATGTACACACGGTCACAAGAAATGTCTTTCAGCAACCAAGGGAAAAAAACCCCAAATTGACCATTATTTCATATTGGAAAGAGACAACACATCAACCTTGGCGCGCAGCTCACTTATTGCTCTCTAATTCTTAGATTCTCTCTCCATTTTCAATGTCTATTCTAACTCTCTTCCTTTAATTCACATTCTCAAGATATTCTTTTTCTTTGTCTCTGTATGTAGAAATCTACTGAGCTTAACTAAAGAATGACCAAATGTGACTAGGGAGGGGGAGAGAATATTACAGCAGGATTTCGATAGCAAGGGTCTGTTTTATTTTAAAACTTGCATTCAAACCGACGCAACTATCATAAATCCTAACCGTACAATAGATGAAGTGAATATTTTAATGAGCTTCATCCTGACATTATGCAAAAGAAACAGTCTCCATGAGACACAACATCTTTTCTCATACTAAACAGCATTAAAAATATCTTTAAAAAAAATATATTCGTCTTCAGATGCTGTCAATTTTTATTCCCTAATGGACTAAATAAAAAATTATGTCTCTTGTATATGATACATATAAAATTAAATTAAAAATGTAGCGTTTCCAGACATCTCAGGATAAAGCTAATGAAACTGATAATAATTAAATATAATTGAAAGTATTTGAATTATGAACTTCGAGAATTTTCTCGATGAATTAGAACCGGATGTGCAACAAATAGAGCTGCCGAATCCTCACTTTCCAGCCTTGATGGAGTTTAAAAGCGTTTATTCACCCTTGTGGGCTATATATAGATTACTTTCAATCCTATAGCTTCTTTCCCCACAGATGAAACGTAGCAGGGCCATCGGTACTCTATCGCTATTTCGGTCGTATATTGGGTCCTAAATGTTGTCATTATGGCAGATAAGGGTTGTCGGTTATATAATGGAAGTTTTGAAACGTTACATTTCAAATTCCATTATATATATATATATATATATATATATATATATATATATATATATATATATGCATCTTATAAATGACATCATGTGTACAAATTTTTCACAGTGTTTGACAATTCTAATTTTAGTGCGCATATAGATAATCACATAAAAATACACAATTAACATGAGAGATATTAGTATATAATATCAAAATATGATATACCACGCACCGTAAAGAAAGATTTAAAATACTCGAAGTCATCATCTTACCCCAGACAAACCAATAATGTCACTAAGACGCCAGGTGTTACTGAGTGTTAGAGAATAGGTGAAATACTATTAAATAGAGTGAACATTAAAAGAACAAGAATTAAGAAGACTGAAGATAACAATTGACGCTGCATTTAAATTTTAGAAGATCAAAGTTGATTATGAAGTAATAAGCAGGACGAAAATTCTACAAGCTAGAAGTGCGATAGAAGAAACTTTTAACCAAGAACTTACGTTCTATTTATATGATCCACGTGTAACTGAATATGAAATGTAACGTTCCCCACGCAAAATATCCAATGTTTTCCGTGAACAAACTTTCCCAACAATACTTTGACAATAGTTACAACCTGGTAATAACCGAGACAACGCGTTTCGTCTTTTAAGATTTTATTTGACTAAATTTATTATGTTGGTGTGATTATACATGCGCACGAATGAAGGATGCTGGGAATTTGAAATTTAATCTGTTTTTTATCTAACCGATTTTATTTAGATTCTTTTTCTTTCAATCACTTTTATTAGTAGATATGACATACTTTGGTATTAGAAGATCTGCCAGAAATGGTGAAATGTTGTAAGAGCTCGGAATGTAATTTACTTTAGATGACCTTGCGATCAAGGCGTTTTCTAGACATTTTCGTCGTTGTAAATTGTTTTCTCTTTTGATCAGAGTAGCATTTTTTTTATATCAAAATTGTGGTCAGTTACGTTACAGTGGGAAATGTTTCTTTTGTGTTCATATAATCTTTTATTTAGATTCCTTGAGTTTTCCCTTACACATTTTTTGATAATTATTATAGGCTATCGAGTAAATTCCCCCTTCAAATTTTGCTTATTGTTTTGATTAGTATTGACTAAGTCTTTTATTGTTTTAAATGTAGTAGTAACAAATTTTATGTTGAATTTAGACAGATACATTCCAATTGTAGATATGATAAAGTTAGTTGGTAGGACAATATATTTTTTGTTTCATTGGGTTTGTGAAGAGGAACCGTTTTTCTCTTTTGGAATATTTTAAGAGTCTTTTGTTTCGCATTGAATATAAAATAATTAGAGAGTAAATAATTAGAGTAGCTTTAAAGTATTTTCAATATATTTCTCCTTTTTCCTGTAGATATTCAGGGCTGCAAATTCTGAGTGCCCTTAAGTAGAATCCGATGATTATACCGAATTTTATTTTGTTGTTATGATGAAAATTGAAATTTATTAGATTGTTTTTGTTGGTTGATTTCTGGTGGACACCAAGTTTTAAACTCGATGTAGCTTTATATCTAGGAAAGGTAAAGAATTGTATTCCTCCATTTTGTATGTAAATTCTAATGTATGTTCGACTTTGTTTAGTTTTTCTACTCGATCATGTAAATCAGTATCAGGATTGTATATCAACAGAGCATCATTAATATGTCGGAAGTATGTTGATTGTTTGGGTAAAATATTTTGGAAAGCTCCAGATTCGAGAAATTCTAAGAAAATACATGGCACCATTCCACTAAGAGGCGATCCCATTGGTAATTCAAATTTTTGTTTGTAAAAATTATCATTAAATGTAAAATAGCATTGAGTGATGAGATGACAGATTTTTATTATTTTAGCTGTTTGTAGAGAGAGCTTTATCGCTGATTGTGTTAGATGCTTTTTTTTAGTAGATTTAGGCATTTTTCAACAGGGACGTTGGTGTAGGGGGATTTTATATCTAAATTGGTCATGATTTTGTCAGTCAGGTTCATTTCCATTAATTTTTCAAATAGGCTGCCCGAGTTCTTTATATGACATGGACTGATTGTTTCAAGGGGAGGGGTTAGAATTTTTGTTATGGCTTTCACCAATTTATGGGTAGGAGTGGAGGGTTTTTTATTCCTGAGGTGATGGGGTGCATCGGTTTTAGGGAGACCGTAAAGTTTGGGTGTTCTTGGCTGATATTCTATGAGTTTGTGCTATGATTTGTATTCATTGTTAATTAGTTTCCTAATCTCCTTGTTAAACTTTTGTGTTTCAGTAGTTATTTCTGTTCGTTTATTTTTTCTTATGTGTCGGTACCATTGAGTAGGGAATTCATTTTTTCTACGTATGTATTCTGGTTTATGATCACAATCCCACCTTCCTTGCTAACAAAAAAATTAAATTTAAAATTCCTAGCATCTCTGGTTCATGCGCATGTGTAGTCGCACCAAAACAAATTTAGTCCGACGAAGACCTAAAGGACGAAACGCACCACAAGAAAACTTTTTCTAATTTGTCATACATTTTTCCCCAATATTGTTCCTGATATCTTAAAATTTATATCGTTATCTCATATATATATATATATATATATATATATATATATATATATATATATATATATATATATATATATATATATTCAGGCATTCGGGCAACCGTTTTATGCAAGTTTTGTTGAAGACCAATGAAAGTTTTCTATTTAAGATTTTTTTCGACGATTCAGACCATTAGCCTGTTTTTCGGGGAGAATTTCAACTTAAATTTTTCAATGTCGCCTGAGCGCTTTTGAACTCCATAAACGATTATCAAAGAATTTTATTTTTTAGGTTGGTAGGCTTAAAAGCTGCCAAAGAAAATACAACGTATACGGATAGACACAACCTTATCAAAAAAATAAAACTGCTAATTTTCCTTATTAGTGGTGAAGTTATTGCTTTTGTTTTTTTTTTCACTTATATTTTCATAGATTAGATTTTTGCGCTAAGACAGATTTGTTCGTAGCGCCCACCCATCTTTTTGTGTCGTTTCAGGATGTTATGTTTTGTTGATTTAAGAAATACTCTTTGAATAACTATTGCCGTGTGTTTAAGCATCGTCATTCTGGATTCGTTTTTGTAAGTTTTATTAACTCTTAGGAAATTAGACTAGAAAAATTATTGAAATTTCATAGACGAAGTTTTATCAATAATATTTTTTCGCTTATATTTGAAAATCCTCTTTTTCCCGATTGTCATCGCAACAAACAAAAACACACACACGCACGACGCATGCACACGCGCGTGCACACACACAGAGGATTTAATATCAAGAGAGTTTTTTTCCCAATTATTTGGCTTGAAATAATTAAATCGTAAAAATATTAGTTCACCTTTATAGATACAGCCATTGAGAATTGTAATGAGTCACTGAGTTTTGAAGCTAATCTCGTGCCCATGAAATTATTCAGCCAGCGGAAAAGCTTTCAAATTTCGATAGAATTCTGATTGTGGAAAAAAGAATGAGGTTTATTAGTACACGTCCATATATATATATATATATATATATATATATATATATTAAGAAATGGACAAAGTCCGACAATTTATTTTATTAAAGACATTTTTATGTTTAACGTTCTTTTTTATAGATACAAGTATTTAAGTAAATGCTCTGTTTATAATAAACAGTATTAAATAACATTTACCGACCTGAATGTCCGAGAAATTTTCATAGAAAATATTCGTCCTTTGACAGGATTCGAACCTGCATCCTATACAGAACAGTCATTTACGCTGACGTGCCTTAACCGACTCGGCCAAAAAGGAGCGTTCGGTAGGCAAGGTCGAATTTCTTAATATTTCTTAATATATGACGTCATTTGTTTACATTTGATACGCCAGAGCAGTTATGAATGTACGAGATTCATGGAAGATTGAAGTTTATAAGCAGTAAATTCGACCTTGCCTACCGAACGCTCCTTTGTGGCCGATTGGTAAGGCACGTCAGCGTAAATGACGGTTCCCTATAGGATGCAGGTTCGAATCCTGTCAAAGAACGAATATTTTCTATGAAAATTTCTCGGACATTCAGGCCGGTAAATGTTATTTAATACTGTTTATTATAAACAGAGCATTTACTTAAATACTTGTATCTATAAAAAAGAACGTTAAACATAAAAATGTCTTTAATAAAATATATATATATATAAAAACTGATTTTTAGAAAAGATTTTTCAAAGTAATTTGAAGTGTTCATTTTTATAAAATCAATGATGTCATATTTAATCCAGTCGTTGGTATTTCATCGAAATCATTTAAAAAATGTAGTACTTATGGTTAAGTTCTCTAGTATTTGTAGATATTTCTACAATTTATGTGGTATGAGGATAAGGATTTGTCGGATTTTTTGTGTTTTATTGTATTTGTTGTTGATATGGGATTTAATTAATATACTGAAAGATTCACATGCAAAATGCTTAAAGTTAATTATTATTAATAATCCTGTTAATAATAATAATTATCAACTGCAAAATGCTAGAAGCGTTAACCGGAAAAATAATTCCGACATCAATAAAACATAATTCAATTTTGGAGCAAATATAGTAAATATATTTCACAAAATGAATCTTGTTTGTTATCGAAGATCATATCAGTCATTTCGTTGAAGTTTTCTTTCTGTCTTTTCCGGTGAGCGCTGCTTTGGTTTCCTGTTGAACTGTCAAGAAAAAGTCTTGAAGAATTCATCATATATTCCAACATCATTGATTTCATTCTTTGTATGCTTCTCATTGATTCTCTGGAGCCCAAAGTCGTTTGTAAACTCGTCTTTTTAATGCGCAGATGAAAATAACACTGTAGATGACACTGAATTGACCAAAAGTAGATATTCTTTTGGAGAGTAGTCAGTAAATCTTAGTATATCATTGAACTGAAGTTTCCAATTTCAAAGTGAACATTTTACTTTCATCATTGCAGATACACTTTAGTTTGTACAAGGCAAATTTGAAAAAAAGGAAAAAAAAGAATGAGAGTTTCGCAAGCAAGTCCTTAATATCTTTGATAAATAGAACCATGTTTATGGAATTATACACTAAGTAAAAATTTATTACACGTTAAAATCCTGTTTATTCATTTTTCATGAGATAAATTATGCAACAATAAAACCTACAATAGTCTGGCATTTCTTGCTAGCCAACAAATTTACATTTGTGATATTTCCTTGTTTATCCGTGAATATGTTTGTTGATGCTTTAAACATAAACAGTTTTGCAATGGATAAAAATAAAGAATCAGCAATGTTTACCAAGTCACATATTTGCATGATGACGCAATGGTACAGAGTGTAACTCTTCTCAATTTATATCCATAAGCAAGGTGCGGTTACTTCCCTTGAACTGAAAGTAGATGCAATCATTTTTTATATATCATTATTTTTCTTTTAAGTGCCAGATGCATTCAGGGCGTGCGCAAACATGGCCCTCCACAACTTTCTATACTTTGTAGCTCTAAGAAGTATTTGTCTTTTTACCATCTCTCCCAAATTCTGTTCTGACATTTATTTACGCAAGCTTGTTAAGTTGGTCATTCAGAGCTACCCTCTGTCCTTCGCTGTGTTCTTGAAACATTCTTTCTTCATTATACGTTCTAGAAATTATGATTGTCTCGTTCAGATTTTAAGTATCACTGTCCTTTGCGCTTCCATTTTCCTTAAAACTTATTTGTTACTCACATGCTCTATCCATGGTATTCTTAGCACTCTTCCTTAGAACCACATCTCCTATTCATCTGTGAGGAAATTGTACAGCACTGACTGCTATAGAGGAGTATTAGTATTTCATAACAGTTCAACCGTTCGTTTCTTTGTTTCTAAGAAAATTTCCCTCTTTCTTAATACTTTGTTTAACTTTTGGAAGGAGGCATCTTTTGACATAGAAAAGACATTTCGGATTTGGTGTCACATTTGCTGCTCACTGTTAAAATACTTCCTAGATATTTACATTTCTGTACTTGCTTTAGTTTGATGTCTCCAATTCGAATCTGGCATCTTGGGCTCTTCTTCTTGCTAACGGTCATTCGTTCTGTTTTCTTACAGTTAATCTTTTCTTCACGTTTTTCTTTATCAAGGAGTTTCTGCAGTTTTATTTATGTCTGCCATCAACAGGGTTTCATCTGCACATGTTATATTGTTAAGATTGTTCCCTCCAATAATAAATCCTGGTAGGACTCATAGTTTTCTAATCATCGCCGCGATTTTGCGTGCTTTTCAAACAAAACAAATTGGAAACATTCAATAAAATTGAAAAGATATTCAGTTTATGTATTTGAGTCGAATTCCCTCTTATATTTATTTAAAATCATTACACCCCATGCAAAGTAATAAAGCCACTAAGATGCAAGGGTGGTACGGAATATGAAAGAATATAAGAAAAAGAAAAACACTATTAAGGAGCAATAATAATAAAAGAACAAGAATTACGAAGACAGAAGATATCGATTGACATTGCATTTCAGTTTGTTGACTGGAAAGGAAGAAGCCGGAAGAAAGTTTCACAAGCGAGATGTGCGAGAAAAGAAACTGTTAACATAGAACTTACGGTTAGAGCTAGCCCTTTCAACTGTAATAAGATAACAACATGCCACTAAACTAGAGCTGCGCTTAAATTGATAAAGTCTAGGTACCATAGAGTCCCTCAGAAAGTCATTGAAAGTATTTATAGAAAATATACAGGGAAACGACATTACGGTGGTGTGAAAGTGTTTGAAGCCGAGGTGCCAGGTTAGGCTCAATGACATTGCAGATTTTTCTTTGGATTTTATCAATAATCTCTAAATATATAACAGAAGCACCAGACTAGATGTGGTAGCAATATTCAAAGCATGAACGGGTGGTAGACTTATACATATGCAAGATAGATTCGGACAAGAATGTTTTAATTGCAGAAACACTGAAAACATACTAATAACAATAGTTATTCTTTTTCCTTTGTATTAAGATTTTCAAATTCCCAAAACGTGTGTAGATTTTAGAGTTATAAAGATTTTGCGTCTTAGAAATGACGTAGACGTGTTTTTTGGTCATCGATATTTTTCTAATGATTTCCTGATGGCGTTTCATATGATATTTGATTGGCTAACAGTAAAAGTCCAGCTGGAATTCATTACGAAGAGCCAAGTCGGTTGTCCTTAAGCCGATTATATTCTCGTCGTAGTCGTCATGGAATATCGATCATTCAGTAGCAGATTTGAAAGAGGCGCTGATCTTCAGGGACGTGTAGAGGGTTCAGTTGGTTTTATGCGAACAGCTGTCTCATCGACCGTGTGCCATAGAGAATAGTGAGAAGAAATGAAGAGAGACAGGAAAAGAAACGTCTAAGAGTGAAGTAATCTAACTTTCTACACAGCAGTGCGTCGAAGATGCTGTATGAAGCTGCCAGGAAATGGTCAAGAGGTCACATTTAATGACATAACAGCTTCCGAGGTCAGAAGGAGGTTTATTATAACATTTATTATTTTTGATTTTACAAGCATAAGATTACAGTTATAATTTCAGAAATATCGATTTTCTTAGCTGAAACGTGTGCATAAAACGCATATCTTCCATTTGGCACCGGGGCTTTTACCTCGAGTTCAGGTTTCAACTCTGCAGAGGCAAATTTCGTTAATCTTTCATTCTGTTTTATCGCATATTTTACAAATTTGAAAATTTGTGTCTTCCAGAAATGGTGATGATTATGACTTTAAAAAAGAAATCGATTTCCATCAACTCATAATTTTTTCTTTAAAAAAATATATGAAATCAAAATTCCAACATTTTACGCAGTGAATGACATCCAACTGAGTCAGTCGGCATCACGCGATGTGGAGAAGAAAAATATTGCCAAATGTGAAGATACAAAATCGGAAATATTTTTCTCGGAATGACAGCATTTTGTACTTTTTTTTAATCCCCCGGCCACAAAAACACTTTTTGAAGTATGATTTCCAGTTTGGTCAATAGAAATATTTTCTGTTATTTCGGAAAACAGCAATTTGATCTGAGTCCGCCTCGTGACTGATGTAGTTGTGGATATCAGAAAGAGATTCATTGATTGAACTAGATCGAACTTCTTTGCAAGTTGGAATATTAATTAATGTTCTTTGCCGGTGTTTCCTTTAATTTGACACATTAGCGAATACGAGAATAAAACATTATTTTTATTTGGATGATACGCATTATACAGGGAGACGAAGTATTCGATTTATTTGAAAGTTGAAACTGTGATATGATCAGTAAATACCGATTTCATCAAGGCTTGTCGGAGGCAGGTGGTTCGCTGCCTGGCTTTGCTTATCAAGCCATCTGTCTTCGGCCAGAGAAAGACACAGTGGGGTCTCCGTTTTGCGAGAAAAACACAAAAATTGTACCCGATCGCGTGAATGCTGTGCCTGGGTAAATTTTTGCCAATGGCCCACAGAAATTTAGACCTTGTGTCACATCTCATCTCAGTGGGTGGGGGGACTAGGTAAATACCGAGTTTATTAATGTTTACTGATAGGCAATACGTATTGCCTCGAACAATTCTACTACAGAAGCAAGAAATATTCGTCAATAATAATAGTAAAAAATGTTTAATTCCAGAAAGAAAGACATATATTAGAAAGATGACTGAATAGAAACAGGAAAAAACCATATTGAATGCTGAAGAGGGAAAGAAACTTAGAAACTGGAGTGGAAATATGTAGGCAACTAATATTCCACTGGTTCATCCAGATTGCACATTTGTTGATGTCTAATAGTCCTTTAGTGGTTTGGGTATCTGTTGGTGTCTAATAACTTTAATGTTTCGCTTTTTGCCTTACATTCTAGAGTCGTCTTGCTGGATTAAGTATCTTTTGATGACTAATACTCGTCTCGGTAGATTGAGTGTCTGTTGACTTCTAATAATCATCTTAGTGTGTGGAATATCTTTATGTATGTAATGATTTCAATATGCTTCGTTTTTTATCCTTCTTTTTTGGAGTCATCTTCGTGTATTGTGCATCTGCTGATGTCTAATAGTAGTCTTTTTGGATTGAGTATATGTTAATGTCTAATTGTTGTCTTACTGGATTGATTATCTGTTGATTTCTAAAAGTAGTTCTAGTGGATTGTGTATCTGTTTGTGCTTCACTTTTAGCCCTTCATTAGCATTTTGGATTCGTTTTGGCGCATTCAGTATCTGTTTGTGCCTAATGACCTCAGTGTGCCTCGCCTTAGCCCTTAGCATTTTGGAGTTTTCCGTATACAGATGGATCTATTTCAGATTTGATTTTCCGAAACTTGCTAGAAATGGACAGAATCCGTTAATTACTACTTAATATTTGATAAAGGAAAGAGAATCATGAGAGACGACCAAAGGTATATCTAAAGAAAAATTCATCAAAGTTAATACTGTAATCAGCAGAATGGATCTTTTCGTGTAAATTTGAAACAATTTTGTGAATTGATCACCTGTACAGAAGTGGAAGCGATTGACTAAGATCCAATCATTTAACGTATAATTATTTATGGAAAGTGAAATTGGATGAAGGGAAAATGTGACAGATGAGAAGTGTATTCTTGTATCTGCAACTTATGCGAAAATCAACACAAACATATCATAAAAAATATTTACTTCATTCTGTTGATATATTGATGAATTAAATTTTGACCTTGATATATTGACTAA